TGCAGAGGTGAAATACGCTATAAAGCTGATGTTCTCTACAGATTGGTCGCTGACAGTACAGAACAGGGGGTTTCAGCCAAGAGCGATCAAGAAATACCTGGCTCGTTGCCACAGCTTTCGGGACCTGGTGACGGTGCAGACACATCATGATAAATTGCCCACTTTGCTGTTTTCTGGGTTCTTCAACTGAGGCATCTGGCCTTACGCACACTACGGCTAAATACCTGAGCTTCAGTTCAAGCCCTCAGGGGAGTCCGTGGCTTCTTTTATTTTGCCTGTTCTTTGGATTATAGCATTCTCGCATGTCTTTCTTGATCTTCTTCATTACACAATTTTGATATGGATCTTTGTGTTTCCTAAGTTTAGCTCACAGGGTCTTTCTTTTTTTTTTTTTTTTTAGAAAGAAAATCATTTATTATAAAACCGGAAAGTGGGCCCGGCATCCCTCACATGAATTCCATAGCCAATCCAGGCTGGGAGAGGCACTTCTGGCCAGTCCCATCCCCAACCACGGACCTCCCACAGTGAAGACGCCTGTCTTCAGCCCATCCCGTGCAGAACTCTAGTTGCAAAGCCTCATCTATGTTAATACTTAGAATTTACTCCTATTCCAATGTATCGATTAATTCAATAGTATCAAAAACAATCACACAAATTTCTAACCTATTCCCTGATACAATTACCATCATAATCCCTAACCCTAAATTATTTACAAAACAGAAACTGTAATCATGACTAATACTCAACACAAAATGAATTCCCAATTAAGGACTAATTAATGAAAACCTTCCAAAACGTCAAGAAGTGTAAATCACCTAAAAAATTAAAGCCAATTTCGAGCAAAGCAAATTTCCAATAAGCCGAATGTCCCACTTTCTCCGATCCAACAGCCAAAGGGAATTTCAGTCAAAAGACGACAGAGGGAGGAAAGCCTACTGTGGGCTGCAGCAGAAGTAGATTGTCCAAAATGACATACTTGATGGGGGGCAACATCAAGCCTGTCATTCTGGATAGTCTCCAGGATATCATCCGATTATAAATGGCAGGTCCATCCGTAACCCGAAAACAAAAAACCGTGAAGAAGTGTAAATCACCTAAAGAAATTAAACCCGTTTTCGAACAAAGCAGATTTCCATTTTCGAACAAAGCAGATTTCCAATAAGCCGAATGTCCCACTCTCTCCAATCAATCAGCAGAAGTAGATTGTCCAAAATGACATACTTGATGGGGGGCAACATCAAGCCTGTCATTCTGGATGATCTCCAGGATATCATCCGATTATAAATGGCAGGTCCATCCCTAACCTAAAACTAAAAGACGTCAAAAACTGTAAATCACTTCAAAATTAAACCCAATTTCTCTGATGGCACAACTGTGTGCAGGTGGCGGATTATGGAGTGGCAGTCGTAGCAGATCAATCATGAGGTGAAGAGCAAGAGATTCCACCTGGTGGCACAACAGTACTCCTCACCTTCGTGCAGTAACAGAAAACACGTGGCACTGGCAGCCTATAGAGTATTACACATGGAAAGTAGATCCCGAAGAGCAGATCGCAAGCCAACCACGGAGAACAGATGATTGCACCCAATGGCACGACAATGTTCCTGCTACTGTCGTCCATCATCAACCGTAGGAAAAGGCACTAGCAAATCCAACACTTCAACCAATCAGCGCCACAAAGGCACGACAAACACCACTTTATACTCGCGGGTAACAGCTGCATCCTCATACTCAAAGGAGACACACACTCTAATGAAAGCACAGCAGCATGATAAACGCCATGTCTGACCCTTGATAACTCCCAGATCCTCTGCAATTGCCCACTTCAAAATGATGTATCTGTTCTTCATAAATCCGTCTTCTCGGCAATCAACAGCAAACCACTCTTCACCTTGATGGAGTGAACATCCTTCCACCAACAGCAGCACCCGACCAATGCTAACGCAGCAGCAATGTATACATGGAAGCTCCGTATCTGTGACCAAGGCAAAAGCCATTACCTGTTCATAATAGATATGGGGGGCGTCATCCAAATCTCACCCATGCCTGCCAACCTGGCAAGGGGAAGGGACCATGAGAGAGACAAGACGACGTTGTTCGGTCGCAGGGGAGTTACCTTCCCCACAATACTCCCAGCGTCCGTAATTGAAAAAATTCAACCTGGTGAAACCACAGTGCGATGCTAGCGCTGCGCTAACGCAGCGCTAACACTTTCATAGCATGCTACAACCTGTACTGGATAAACTGTAACATTTGTCCTTTCATGTGGTTACTGTGATACCCCCTATGGGTTCGGCCGGTGATGCCGTCCCCTGGGGGTATCACCACAACTTTGTTAAGGGACGCCGAGCCCGGTTCTCGGTTAAAAAAGAAAAAAACTTGTTTATGGCTCAAATAATAATAATAATAATAATAATAATAATAATAAAATAAAAGCCCCCCTATCTCAAAGTTTTTCTGTATATGTTCTCAAATATGTTTCATGTTTCAAATGGGACGCTGGGCCCGGTTCCCAGCACGTGCGGCTCCCCACGAATAGATTGGAGCATTGTCCCTTTAAAAAAAAAAAAAAAAAAAAAAAAAGGAAATAGTTGTTCAGTTCATAACATAGTTTTCTTTCGGATTCTGTTTTTTTCCTTTCTTTTGCTGGGACCTTTCCTGGTTCTTGCACGGCCGGGCTGCCCGGGAAAACAAGGTGACCCGGGCAGCCCGGCTGGTAGCCTAGGGTAATATAGTTTTAATTTCTTCTTTTCTTTTCTTTTTCTTCCTTTTTATTTTTTTTCTTCCTTTTTCTTTTGTTTTTTTTTTATCGCCCAGACTCGACAGTTTTAATTTCATTGTATCCAAATTTTCCAAATTGTAAACCACCAATGGCTATTTTCATGCCAAGCGACAATGACGCAATCGCCCATCGGATTGTTGATCGAAACAACAAGTTTAAAATAGATAATAGGGATTTGCAAGGACTTTGTCCTCACAGTGGCCGCTAGGCCGCGGCCTTCCAATGCCTAAGGTCCCCAAGTAGCGTGCCCGCCCTAAGTGAAGGCGGGCCTGTATATGACATGGGGCCCCAGTTACGCCATTTCTGCATGATGGACGCCAAACAGTTCCCACGCGCCAGTTGTCTCGGGAGCCCTGCTTGTGAGTATCAGAATCTTTGGGGAAGCTTCCAGGTTCCTGGAGGCTTGTATGTGGAAGAAGGGCCTCCCGGCCTATCAGAAAGCAGGGAACACGTCACAAGCTGGTGGGGTGGTTGGGCGCATCTCGAAGCTGCAATCCCTGGCGACTGTCTGCGTGGGTCTGAGCACAGACACTTTGGCCCAACATGAAGGTACTGGGTCGGAGCCCAGTAGGCCCAGAGGACGCTGAAGCAGGGCGCACTTTCCATAAAGGAAAGTATTCGCCCCTGCCCAGGCACATTCTGGCCTGTGAAGGCATTGCGGCCACGTTGCTGCTTCGTCGCACGAGCAGCTGCACTAGCACTGCTGGCAAGAGCGCGCACGGGCACTGCGTGGTAAGAATGGGGCGCTGTGGTGGCAGCTGTGGCACACGGCGGCCATAGCCGGACTGCTGGGGGGCAGGCAGGTGATGACGATGGTGGTCTTCGGGTAGGAGGCACATGCTATGGGGAGATGGGGTGATAAGGAGAGGAGAGAGACACGTACCTGGTGTACGCTGGCAGACTGCATTGGCAACGACGTCACGTACATTAGTCTTCAGTTTCGAAGTGATTCCTGTTGCATGAACGTAGTGTAGGATAGACAGGCTGAGTAGTGTACGCTGGGCGATGAGTGCCAAGCTAGATGAGCGACTTTGGATACTATGTTGGTGTGGCCAGGCATTTTGGTTCATTGCATTGCTCTTATTTCGATGGTATCTTGGTGCATTGAACTCTCTGCTTGGTACATGACTATCTGGACTACAGCGTGATTTTGCAATTTGGATTTCTGTCTATTGCTCTCTCTCATATTCCTTGCCATTTTATGGATTATAATTAATTTATCAATTTTATTATGTGGAATACTTTTTTTTTTCCCTTTTCTTTGTTCGTCATTGGATTGCCATCTATCTTGAAAATGGACATTGGCTTCCACTTTGGGGGACAATCCACTAACTTAGCTTTATCGCTGTACCGTACTTATCACACAAGAGAAACCACCTCCTCCTCCCCATCTTCTTCTTCTTCTCTACTGTTGTCGTAGTTTTATTCCACATTTTCCTCCTCCTCTAATTCTTCGTCTTCGCCATCCTCTCCTCCTCCTTTTTTGTTGTTTGCGTAATCTCATTCCTCCTTTTCGTCCTCGCCCTCTTCTTCTTCTTCTTCTTCTTCTTCTTCATCGTTTTTGTCGTCGTCAACATTGTCGTTATCTTCAGTGTCTTTGTCGTCGTCAACATCATTTTTATATTCATTGTCTTTGTCGTCGTCAACACCATTGTTATTTTCATTGTCTTTGTCGTCGTCAACATTATTGTAGTCGTTCTCTTCTCTTCTTCTTTTTTCTCCATCATTTCAAAATTAACAAGGGGTAAATAGCCTAGTGATGTTCAAACACTTCAAAAAGAGGGGGAAAAAAAGTATAATGGTAAGCAAATAATGACTACAGTTCATACATCCGAACCACTATGTAAACGGTTCACTGTTCGGCAAGGAATGCAAGGGACTGAATGTGTCCAAAACTTCAGTTGTTCAAAACATTGAAAGAATTTGGAAAAACGAAGTTTGTGCAGCAATGCAACAAGAATTACTTCTTGCTAAGGGTCATCTGGAAATTTGCGATTACATTTGAGAAAAAAACAATCAAAACGAAAGTAAAAATATTTTTTAGGGAACCTTTCCGATCCAAACTAGCTTTAGGCACCTAGACTTATAGACCCGCCCGTCCACGGTCTGATATTCGGGTCCTAGGTAGTCATGAAGCAAAACTTAAAGAAACTAAACATGAATAAATAACATGAGAATACTTGTATCTTCCTATCTTTATGTGTACATTGTATCTTACCTGATTAACAAGATGATCACATTCCTCATTCGTAAGGAACCCTTTGTATAGGAAAACCCTGTGCACACAAAAAAAGTTTTATCACTGAATCTCAACAATAGCTGAAATGCAAGAAGGTGCAGAGTGAAAAAAAAAATTAGGATGGGAATTATGATAATGATAAAGTGAAAAGAACAATGAAAAAAAAGCAAAACCAACTAAACGAAAAAGAAAAAGAAACCTTTAAAAAATGCAAAACATCAACTAAAAAAAAGTAAAACAATGTTTGCAATCAGTGTCTCCCTTTGTACGCGACGAATGCGGACATTGCGTCGTACACCCTCATACTACACATAATTTTTTCTTAATGCATTTTTACTCGTGTATAAAATTGTCTTCCTTCTTTTACTCTTTGCTTTTCTTTTCCCTAAAAATCAGCTGCGAATTTCATTTTTTATCTTAAGGCAAAAACTGTTCAGATTAATATCTTCTATCACATATTTCTTTCATAGTTTTCGGTTAAAACATTTTTTGTTCATAAAAATTGTGCCACAAGTAGATTACAACGTTATACTACACACATAAAAAAACATTTAATGGTTTGTACGCAAAATATGCGCAGCTTCCAAAGTGTAAAATAAAGGAGGTTGAAACTTTGTAGTTGCTTCAATTCATGATCCCTCTTCTTATTTTTTATGCACTCCAGAACATGCAAAATGAACAGTGATTTTTATTAAGCTCGTATGTGCTAAGATGCTTTACATTAACCATTACAAATTCAAAAAAATATCTTATAAAGATGAGGAAATTTTACTTTGAACAACAAAAGTGAAAGTACATAAAACAATAAGTATAAAAAATACGTCAAAAAAACACATTTAAAAAAAAAAAAAAAATACAGGATAAAAACGATAGAGTCATAACATTTTTCACACTTTGTATGTAGTTTTGAGCACATATGGATAACAAATATCAATCTTAAATTATATCTACAGTCATTCTTCTTTTTCATAGTTTGACGATCATATATAGAAAGGAAGGAGAATAACATAAGGTATAAATTTTATTATTCTATGATAGCTTAGTTGTCTATTTACTGTTGTTATTATATGAGTAACTTAATTCACAATCTCTGCTCTGAAGATGTAACCAGATGCCTGCACTTTTGAGGCTAAGATCATTTACACACCAGTACTGACATTTTCAATAACCGATACAAAATCAATGAAGTTACAATTAATCAAAACATGATTCCAAATGCAATATTGTATCATAACATAAATAACAATTACACTATTTTTTTTTATATTGTAATAACATATACATACATACCGTCAAACAGAGTTGTTTGATAAACCGTAGGCAGAGAGGGAGAAAAAAATAATAAACGAGGGGTTGTGACAAATTGTCTCGTCATAGTTTCATCGACTCATCATGAGACTGAAATTATCTATGATAAAATCGACGAGACAAACATTTCTTCATTGCACCACCGCAAAACCTAATGTCGAACTTTACGGAAGACGTGGAGTAAAAAGATGAAAAGTAAGTAAAGAGTCAGAGAAAAGGGAGCGTTTAGGTGGCCAGAACAAAAGAATATACAACATAAAATTTCACCTACGAAATGGTCTCATGAAAGACAGTACTGAAATTCGGTCTTGTGTGAAATGATTTTGGTTACCGCATTTCACAAAAGATCTGATTTTCAGTAAAATCGGTCTTGCATAAATTAAGATTGATTATCGCATTTTATATAAGGACCAATTCTCATCAAATCGATCCTTGTATGAATTGATTTTGAGCATTGTATGAACCAGACATTTTTATTCATACAAGTATCGGTTTTTATTACCACTTTAGAAACTCCGATAATGGACACAAAAACAATTATGACAATTTGCAAAAATCAGTGGGTATATATGGGATTCAAGTTTAATATTCGATTGTGCTTTGCAAATTGATTTGTCACAAAAACAACTGCATTATTTTGTTTATTCTTATATTTAAACGGTACGGTATTGCAGTCATGCTTTTAGCTTTAAGCCACTAGTACCGCCACTAGCGTTGGGAAATTATAAGGTTTTGTCAGTTCCCGAAGAAATCAAGGGTGGGACACAGGGTCGACAATGTCTCATAAATCCTAGGTTACCAGTCCGAACGTCCGGGACCCCTTTTGGGGCCGAGTTGTCCGATCGGACAACTCCCCCGGTTGTCCGAGTTGGGCCCGATGTCCGGGCTGGTTTAAAAATTGGTGTAGAGGTTTGTAGGGGTTTTGGGTCTGTGGGGGTGGGATTTCGGGTACGAAGTACCCCTGGGAAGGACGGATCATTTTTGTGAGGTCGGTAGGGCTTCCGAAAATGAAAACGAAAATGGCCCGCCCTAGGCCGTCAGATCTAAGAGATCTACGGCCCAGATTGGGCCAAATTCGAATTCGAATTGCGCATTGTACCGCCGCGCGCGACTTTTGGACGCTGCCAAAATCGCGCGCCAACGACCACCACCTGAGGCGTCCTCCAACCCCCATGCAGGTGTGTACCCTCCTCCTCCTCCTTTCCGTCCACTTCATCCGCCTCCCTCTTCTCCTCTTCCTCCTCATCTTCTTCCTCCTCCTAGTCCTCCACCTCCTCCTCGTCATCGTCGTCCATCGCCACCATCGTCCTCCTCCTCTTCCTCCTCCTCCTCTTTTTTTTTAAATTTTTATTATTATTATTATTTTTAATCAATCAATCAATCAATCAATCTGATCCAATCAATAGATTGGATTTTCAAGATCCCATCCAATCTATTGATTGGATCGAATTGAATGATTGGTTGGATGGTTGATTGATTGATTGATTAAAAAAGAGGGCGGCAGGAGCGACGGAAGTCGGACTTGCACCATTYCTCCCGCCCTTTTTTTTTTTTTTTTTTTTTTAATCAACGACTCCGACTTGCACCGCTCCTCCTCTTCATTCTTCTCTTCTTCGTCATCATCCTCCTCCGTCTACTTCTCCTCCATGTGTGTGTGCATATGTGTGTGAATACATTTTGTGTTTGTGTGGGTGTGTGTGTGTGTGTGTGTGTGTGTGTGTGTGTGTGTGTGTATGTGTGTGTGTGTATGTGTGTGTGTGTGTGTGTGTGTTGTCATATTTGCTATACACTAAAAAAAGCATGATTGTACCAGACTATTTCGTCGAAATTTCACCGACTCATCAGGAGGTTGAACCTCGACAATCTGCCCAAGATGCAATCGACTGATGGATAAGGACTCACCACATCGCCCAGAGTTAGCGATACCCCTGAGAAAAGTGACCGCCTTATCTGTAAGGTGCATTATGTGGAGGAAGATTCCGCCCTGTCTCATTGGCAGGGGACTCGTAAGAAACACACGACAAAGAACAAAAAAAAACAGTAGCATTCAGAATGTGACCGTCTTACCTGTAAGGTGCATTATGTGGAGGGAGACTGTGAGCACAGCCTCCTAGACTACCCTGCCCAACATCATTGCAGTAGAGAAAACATTTTCTTTTTTTTCTTTTTCCTTTCACTCGTGGCACTATAAAACTCAAATTTATGCTAGGTTACCAGTTGTCCGATAGCCGGTTGTCCTGACTGGACATCCTGTGTGGAGTTGTCCAGGATCACGGACAACTCGTTTCTTTCAAACTTGCGGGGCAAAAAAAAAAAAAAAAAGGTCTATGTCTTGCACCACCAGGGGACCCCCTTCGGAGCAAAAAAAAAAAAAAAAAAGGAAAACGGCATTGGGGGGGGGGTAGAGGCGGCGGGGGGGGGAGGTCCGCCGCTGCAGCTGCTACATATGTCCACACAACGTACACACAAACGCACATACACACTATCCACACACACAATAGCTACACGCACCCACCCACCCACACACAAGCTATTATATACCCATGCGTGCACACACACACAGACACACATGGTGTGAGTAAAGTCCACCACTTTTCTCAGGGGTATCGCTAACTCTGGGCGATGTGGTGAGTCCTTATCCATCAGTCAAATGCATCTTGGGCAGACTGTCGGGGTTCAACCTCCTGATGAGTCGGTGAAAGTTTGACGAAACAGTCTGGGGGGGGGATGGTGTGGAAGGCCCGCCGCTGTAGCTGCTGCATACGTCCACACAACGTACACACAAATGCACATACACGCTATCCATACACACAATAGCTACACGATAATACTGTTTTATTTTTTTTCTTTGTAAACGACCATTTCGTCAAAATGGACATTTTTTATTTTTTGAACGAAATTGAAACCGAGTTTTTTTGCCGAAAACTCGAAAAACTTTGTTGTTCTTGAGGGTCCAGCGTTGGGCAGGGTACTGCCTGGAGGTGCCTGGTCTCAAGTTAGGTTCATGTACAGCCAGGGGGTCCAGTGTTTGTAAAACGCCGGACCCTCAGGAACAACAAATTTTGACGAGTTTTGGGCCAAAAAACTCGGTTTCAATTTCGTTCAAAAAATAAAAGATGACCATTTTGACGAAATGACAGTTTTGTCGTGTGTTTCTTACGAGTCCCCTGCCAATAAGACAAGGCGGAATCCGTGATCTACTCAAGCTGTGTTTTGTGATAGGATTGTAACGCTCATCACACTGACACTTAGGGGAATGTATCCAGCCATTTTCACGGTCGGATCCATGTGCCCGTTTTTTTCCCCTTCTATTCTCTTTTTTGAATCTGACAACTTGGCCACGTGTCTGAGATGCCCTCACTAAGGGCACACTCACGCTACCACTTCCAAGAATGTATACAATTGCAATCACGACCAAAGCTTTGTTTCCTTTTTACTTTTTTCTTCTTTTATGAGGTTCACGACCGTTTCTTCTTTTTTGTTTTTTTTTGTTCTTTCCGTGAGAGTACCAGAAAGAAAACGGAATGGTACCCAAGCTCAACAAACTCGGAGCGCGGTGAAATTCAGGTTCGACAAAAATAGGCTCGGAGGTACTAGTGGTTTAACACAACTCAAAAAAATTATTAAAAAAAAAGGGATCTCTTTTTACTTTTTATATTACTTTTTAAAAATAATAATTATTACTATTAGTATCGGGGTAACCGACGTTTGGTACGGGCTGAACGCCCC